CACTCAATTTTTTAGTCGAGTCCTGAAGATCACTTAGTAATTTTTCACGTTCAAGTTCAAGCTCATTTACCTTTTTCAAGATGGCTTTGTCGACCTTCTTAATTTTGAGACTCTCATTAAACAATTCACGATAAGACTCGTGAATGTCAGTCTCATCTCCAGACTCTTCTTCAAACTATTCACTCTCATTCTCCCTTTCAACATTCTCAATATCATGATCAGATTCGATTGTAGTAATCAAAGTGAAGGCCATGAATTTTTGATCATCCTCACCACCAGATGTCTCATTCTAAGAATTAGTCTCTAACTCCTCATCACTCATGGTCACGGCTAAAGTCTTACGACGTTTTATACCCGAACTCCTCTTCAAATTAGGACATTCACTTCTAATGTGACCATACCCCTTGCACTCATAGCATTGACCATACCCCTACTTCTAGAGGTGTTTTTCTCACGTCTACCCATCGAGAATTTACTAGGGATTTCACTATTTCGCTCTTGAGGCATTCTCCTATTCCTCATCACCTTCAGGAATTTTTAACGAAATGAGCAATCTCGTCGTCCCTAAAGGTCTCAGTATCCGTGGACTCGCTCTCCTCTTTTCTAATGGTGTTCATGGCGATGGATTTAACATTTTTAGGTTGTGAGACAGTGAGTTCATAAATTTGAAGTGATCCTAGGAGTTCTTCAATCTTAACTGCATCTAAGTCCTTGCTATCTTCTATTGTAGTAACCTTAGGTCTAAACCTCTGGGGTAGGGATTTAAGAACTTTTCTAACGATTTTNCTGCATCTAAGTCCTTGCTATCTTCAATTGTAGTAACCTTAGGTCTAAACCTCTGGGGGAGGGATCTAAGAACTTTTCTAACGATTTTGGTCTCAGGGATCCTTTCACCTAAGTTAAAGCTAGAGTTAACAATATCATTCAGTTTCGTATAGAATTCATCGAACAATTCATCATCCTTCATTCTAATCTCTTTAAACTTAGTAGTTAACATCTATAGTTTAGAGTTTTTAACAGTTTTGGTACCCTCGTGTGTGATTTCTAGTATATCCCAAACTTCTTTAGCTGTTTCACACATCGACACTCACCTAAACTCTTCAGCAAATACAGTAATGTACAGAGCATATAATGCTTTACTGTTTTACTTGCATTCATCAAGTTTAGTTTTAGTCCAGAGATATATGTTAGTGGGTGTGATTACACTAGTAACAGTTGTTGAAGGTGGAGCCCACCCATTTTGAACGCTAATCCAAAGATTTAAGGAAGGCTCTCATTCGAACTTTCCATTAGACATAGTTGCTTCCGTCGAAAAACGAAGGAACACACAATGACTGACTCATCTAGATGATAAAAGGGTCAGAAATCGAATTAAAACTCTGATACCAATTAAAATTTACGCAGTTTGAACCTAACAATACCTACAGTGAGGGGTGAATAGGTATATTATGTTGAATTAAAAAATATTTTACAAATTAAACAGCAACAAGTCACTTTTTAATTCTACACTAGATGATTAAACATGCAAGTTATTTTGGTCCTAAGTTTGAATACCGCAATTTATATGATCAAGTAATAAACAATAAAGAAAATGGTAAATCAGGGAAAAACTCCAGGCACTTTGCAGTCAACAATCTACTATAAACGATTTGAACAGCTTACAGTCTATCAGACTATACGACCCGTTCTATTTGATCACTTGACTGTATTCCCTATAGCTCTCCCTGGATCCCGTGCTCTCCTGCACCAATCCTTAGCTATTGTTGTCAAAGCTTTCCGTAGAATCTGCTACCCTGCAACACTTCTAACCTTGTGGAATCGTCTATTTCCTGTGGATCAACGAAGAACACCACATTTTTCACAGACTGGAACTCTAGTCAAACTTCCTCGATCTTCAGAACTCTGACTAGATGTAGAAAAAAGGCAGTTTGGTATTTGGATTATAGAAACGATGTTTTTCTTACCAAAACAATCAAAGTAGATGAAGGTTGAAAGAAGGAATAGAATAAATCTCTCATAGATGTAACTCTCTTAATGTTTAACCTTATAATTTTTTGTACAAAAGTGTTCAGGTATATATAGGTAGGTTAGAAAAATGAATGGGCCAGGGAAAAAGTCTTTAAATCACGAAATGAAAATTTCCCGGATAAATATATCACTCGAGTGAGGGCTCAACGACAATCGAGCGACAGAATGTCGTTCGAGTGAAGCAGGGGCGACAATCCAGCAACGATGTTTCTGCTTTTGTAACTCGAGCTAAATCTTGGCAACAGTCTAGCAAAAATTCGCACCGTTTTCCTCTTTTTGCCATTCTCGAACCCTAGACCTAATAACTCTATTTTCAACTATTTGCACATTACTCATTGACTTTTTAAATATAGTACAATACAGGCCTTTTGTTTACAGAATCGCCAATTACAAAATATCGAAAACCTAACAAAGTCATTCATATTTTAACAAAAAATCATACTTGAAAACGAAATAACCACTTGCACCTCTACTTACCTTAATTTGAAGCTTTGAAATGGACAAAATTGGACGGTAAATTTTGTTTCCTGAAGACACCCGACTCTAAGAAATCTACCTCTCTCTTTTTTTTTCCTTACTTTTGAAAATCATTATTGTTCTTGATGTGTACATCATGAGCAAATGGTACAAAAATATGTATAATAGAAAAGGAATATGAAAACTTTGGAGCAAATGAAAAATTACTCCCAATTGGTAAGAAAAACGTTCAGCAATCATTCACCGATTAAAGAGAATTGAAGAGAGTTTAAAATTTCATTTCATGCATTTACTTTGAAGTGTGGAAATGCCTTTGGTTGTTCAATACGTTTAAGTATATAAGAGGTTTAATATGTTAATTATCCACGAATTAATACAAATGTTTCATCACACACACACACACACATATATGGCTGGTATTATTATTATTATTATTATTATTATGAGGAAAATGAAGTGACCATTAAATAAATTTTTATCCTTGGTCCCTACAATTTATTTACTTAATAAAATAAGGAAAATAACCACACAAATTCGCAATTAAAAAAATTAGATTCTCTTTTACTTATTAATTTGTCCTTTTGCAAAATAACGTACGCTCAACATTCAATCTTAGAAATGTTTACAATACATAAAATAAACTTTCTCCGTTGGGTCCAATCTTTGGGAAATGTTAAACTCCGTTCTACTTTATTTTTTTTTTCCCCTTTTTAATGAAAACATGAATGATCATTAAATTTACTTAAAGAATATCAGACTTGTATTGGGCTTTAATTTCTTATGTAGGCTGAGCACAAGATTTGTTAATATATTAGGGTCGTGGTGTTAGATCATCACATTAATTACGAGCCCAATTTAGTTTATATATATATATATTTTTTTTTGGGCTTCTACAATGCAATTGTCACCACTTCTTCTTTGTCAGATAAGAAGTTAGTAAATTTTAGCATATGTGGTTGAGGTCTATGATTGAGAATGGGATGACAGAATTGAGCAGAAGAGGACTTATTGATGGGAGAGTACTAACAAGATGAAGTTATGTGAATATTGTGTTTTGGGAAAACAGAAGAGGGTGAAAGGGAGTCATCACAATATGAAGGGAGCACTTGATTATATCCATTCGGATCTCTCGGGACCAGTGATGGTGCCTTATAGAGGATTTGCATATTATTTGTTAACAATAATTGATTATTTCTCCATAAATGTTTGGATTTTCTTTTTGAAGAAGAATAGTGATGTTTTTGGTACCTTCAACAAATAAAGGACAATGATTGATAAGTAGACAAGAAAGAAGATAAAACGTGTGCATACACATAATGGTTTGGAATTTTGTTAGAATGAATTCAATAGTTTTTGCAAGTCGAAAGGATTCTGAGGTACTTGACAGTGCGTGGTACTCCGCAACAAAATGGTGTGAGAGAACAGATGAATAGGAAAAATTGATGGAGAATGTCCGGTGTATGCTTTTAGATTCTGGGTTGCCTAAGACATTTTGGGTTAAAGTTGTGTCTACAACGTGTTTCATTATCCACTATTTACCCTCAATTGCTATAGAGAAAAAGACTCCAGAAAAGGTATGGTAATTACTCAGATTTGAAAACATTTGGGTGCTCTGCATATGCTCATATAGATAATGGAAAATTGGAGAAAAGGTCTAGAAATTGCATCTTTCTTGGTTATAAATCTAAGGGATATAAGCTTTAGTGTTCAAAAACAAATAAGGTGGTGATTAGTAGAGATGTGATGTTTGAAGAACATGCAATGCTTCATAATTTACCTCTCAAAGATTTTGGTAAAGCAGCTCGGAAGAAATAAATCACTCAATGAATTTGTGACATGGTAGAAATTTGTTGAAGCGTGACCCAAATTCCTTTGGGTATAGGTGGTTTGGATGAAGAGGCCCTGAATAAGTTTAAGGATTGACCAAGGAGAAGAAGTTGTCGCATTTTGTCTCGCTGAGCACTTATCTCTCACTCGAGCGCTCAAAACAGGGAGTCTGCTGCTCGATGCCCGTGAGTCTAGCTCTTGAGCGCCAGTATTGCTGCTTGCTGCACGCAAGAAATGCCGCTCGAGCAGCATTTTGACAGGCCAATTCTACCTAAAGCTCTATTATTAGGGTTATACATATACTCCATGCCTTGTTGGCTGTTTATAGCATTAGATTTGGTTGAGAGCATCAAATCTTGTAACAAATCATTGATTTTGATTTAGTGAATTTTCCACCTCTGTCCGTAATTTTTTCCATCTTGGATTTTCACGTAAAATCTTGGAGTTCTTGATTGTTTGATTTATTCCATCTTACACATATATCATACTTCATTCATAACAGATTTTATGCCAGGCCTGAGAGCTGAACCATGTAAAATTTTGGCTACCATGAACTAAACTAATTGTTGCTTTAGTTGGGTCATAATAGGCTCCGGTGGATGTGTCAGAATTATTTTTCTGAAATCGCAAAAGATCTTTCTATCGGGAAAGTTATATACTGAACTGGATTAAATTGGATGTTGCAAAGGAGTTCCTACCATAGTCTTCCGTCCACTTAGTGGTGCAAGCGTCCCTAACCTCATCGGTGCTGGTGAGATTCCATTAAAAGGTGCCAATATATTTTACAAATATCAATTTTTACATGCACTTTTTTCATCCTATTAATTGCATCCGAACATAAAACGGCTAAAGAATATGTAACTCTTTATCGACATTGGAAACTTGAAATAATTCCTAATTAAAATAACATAATATCTTTTATAAACTGAAAAAAGGAAATTACAATAACTTTATTTTCTAATCTACCTTGATCCCAAGGTATTTTCTGAATCAAGTATGTTATTACTCGACATTTTGACCTCCATTTCTGTAGAGGGCGTTGAAAAATATGAGAAGCGCCGAGAGATGTATGATGCAATTTGAATTTGGCCACCGTAATGACAGTTGAAAGCTATATACCTTTCCGATAGCTCCTTGTACTATTACATGTTAAAAGAGCTAATAAACTAACTAAGAAAGCAAGTAAAGTAAAAGCAAGCTAATAAACTAACTGTAGTTCTAATGAAAAATCTTGAT